GGCTCACGGCTGGCTGCTGGTGACCAGCTCTTCCCAGTTATCCCAGTCCAGGCTGCAGGGAGATGGGAGATCCTTTGCCCTGTGCCCACCCGATATCTCTGTCTCCAGGAAGGAGCTGCTGCTTTGCTTGCCGTTGGCTAGCTGTAGAAACTTGGCAGTCTCAGAGATGTCCCTGCCATCGGGGACAGTTGCTGTGCCCACCCTGGCATCAGTCTCGTTGCAGAGAAGCTGAACTAGATCGTGCAGCCCTGATGCTGCCCAGGCTCACAGCAGCCTGTCCTGGCCAACCCATGGGCCGGGCAGCGGTCCCATGCTTGCGGGCAGCCGTGGGCAGGGGCTGGGGCCAGGCTCCCTGGTGCCTTCTCACTCCCCCAGCTCCTTCTCCGGAAGATCTGGTGCCAAGTGGGACGTGCAAACCCTGGGCAGGGACAGCCAAGTCCTTTCAGTCCCGCTGGCAGCAGCGAGTTGACCTTTGTGGAGTAAAGCGGGGTGGCTCCGCTTGTGAATTGAGCTCTGGGCTGTTGCCTGCCCTCCCCGGGGAGGACCCGGGAGGCCGGGTGAATGGAGCCCTTCTCCTCGCTGTGTGGGGATGGTGGGTTTTGGATGTGCTGCATCATGGGGTGGGGAGAGAAAGGGGAGGAGAGGAGATTGGGCAGGAGCAGGTCCAAAGGGAGCCGGTGTTCAGTCCAGTGCCCTGCCCCCAGCAGCCCCCGCAGCAGCTCTCTCCTCCTGCGCAGATGCCGTTAGCAGCAAGCTCCAAGGCAGCAACATCTTCACCATCGCCAAGAGGAACGTGGAGGGCCAAGACATGCTCTACCAGTCCCTGAAGCTCACCAACGGCATCTGGGTGCTGGCAGAGCTCAGGATCCAGCCCAGCAATCCCAGCTTCACGGTATGCCTCTTCCCCTGCCTGCCTCCCAAACAGCCCCGAGACGGCTCCGAGCCGAGGCTGCTGCCCACCCTGCCTTCACCGCTCGGAGCTCGGGTCGGGCTGGATGGTCCCACAGCACGTCTGCAGTGGCAGGACCCCCTCGGCTGCTGTCGGTGCCAGCTCCCTGCCCCATGCCTGTCCTGGCCTCCCTCTCACGTGGGGAGGGCGAGACACAGTCTAGTGCTGCCTGCCTGGGCTCTGCAGCAACACTCAGTCTCCGCTGAGCTGCCCTCCTGGCACCGCGGTGGCAGCAAAAGGAAAGAGAGTGGTCCCAGGCCACCGACACATCTGCCTTCAAATAAAAACCCCAACCCCTTCTTGGGGCACCCCTGGCTCTGCCCGTGCGCTGGGCAGCCCAACTGCAGCTGCAACCAGCCTTGGGGCAGAGCTCTGTCCTCGTGTCGGACATGAGCTGTCCCCATGTCCCACTTTTCCTGGCCCGGCCCCTTCCCCACCTTCCTCGCAGCCTGTTTTCTTTGGGTTGGGACGAGCTGTGTCGCCTTGACTCACCTCTCTGTGTATCTCTGTACCTGCTGCCTGCCTGCCCTCGCCGGCCTGCCCGCTGTTGCAGGATTTGGAGGTTAGCAGACCGGATTTTACCCCGGCTTTGGGCTGTCTCTGGCTGCTGCCTGGTTATTTCTCCCCTGATGTTTTCGTCGGAGGTGAACGTTTCGGAGGATCAGGGCATTCCCACCACCCTCCTGGGTTCACTTGGGATGGGGATAGCTGCAAATCCTTATCCTGGAGGATTCCCCGCTCGGCACCCCTGCGCTGAGCTCTCCCCCCTCGCCTGCGGGCTGAGGAGCTAATTGATTTCAGAGTCATTTAATATTTAATCTTTGAGCAAATAACCGAAGGGGGCTTGTACTGCTTAGAATAGGAAGGTGCCTTTGGGGGAACCGTTCACCCTCGAGCTACAGGCAGTGAATCAAACCCCAAGAGACCAAGCGTGTGTGTGCCTCTGCCTGCCTCCCTGCCTGCGCTGCATGTGGATGTCTCTGCTCCTCAGCCGGGCGGGGGGAGCACCAGCAGCCCGGGGAGAGGGAGTTTAGGGGGCTCGGTGCCTCTTAATATCATCTTTTATCCAGCTGAAACAAGGAGCTGGGGCCACCCCCTGCCCTGCGGGGGGGATGCTGCAGCATGCAGGGCTTTGTGCTTTGGGGCTGGCGGCTCAGCGACGTGGGGCGAGGCGCCATGACCCCCTCTCCTCCTCTCTCCCCACAGTTGTCCCTGAAATGCCGAGCACCGGAGGTGCCCCAGTATGTCTACCAAGCCTACGAAACCATCCTGAAGAACTAAGGTGCTGCCGCAGCCTCTTTTCCTCCTCTCCTCCCTTTCCCGCCCGAGGAAGTGGGGCAGGACCCGTGTGCATGTCTCCTCTCCTTCCTGCCAAGGAACCAGCCCCTGGGAATCTCCCTCCAGCCCTGGAGCCCTGAAAAGGGAGCCGCTGCTCCCATCTCTGGCGGGGCTGGGGCGGGTGGAGGAGGGCAGGGGCATCCCGGCCCTGCATCCCTGTAGAAATCTGTCTGTGAGTAATGCGGTGTCCTCCTTGCTGATGTTGCCCCCTCCAGAGCCCTGTTTCACCTGCCGGGTCCCTGTGACTGCGCTTTGTTTTTTTTTTTTTTTTTTACATGAGCAGCGCGAGGG